CTCCTGCCACCTCTGGTTAGACTTAGTACTGGTTATTTTAGCACTTTTACTGATATTTTAAATTTCTTCCATTATATTTAAAAAGTTAAAGTCTGTTTATATACAGACAAGCTATATATTTTTGTTTCTAATAGTTATTACCAATCATGTTGGTATATTCTTTTATTATTTGTAATTCTTTTTCAGTTAACAATCTTGTTCCTTTTTCTCCAGGTCATCAATCTTATCGTCTACAATTTTGATACATTTAGCACTTTTTTAACTTATATTTTCAAAATTTGTGTTGGCATGTACTCCTAGAGTAGTATTAAAGAATTACAGTCATGGGGGTCATTCTTTCCTTGTGTGTTTATGTCTGAATACACACACACACACACACACACAAGCACACACAGGCATACACAAAATCATGTTAAGCAATATCCATCTATTCCTATGACATAGGAGTTAAAATCAGAAACATGTTGAATTTTATCGAATGCATTTTAGACATTTTTAGCACTTATGAAGTTGCTTGTATGATTTTTTATTTCTTTCGAGCTATTAGTTTGTTCAATTACATTAACAGTTTTTCTACTATGGAATCTATATTTCTGGAATATAGCCCCACTTGCTTGTGGTATGTTCATTTTTGTAACATAATGCTGTGTGAGTCCATTTGTTGCTATTTATGAATTTTGCACTACTATTCATAAGATTGTTTAGTCATTTTTCTCCTTTTGTGCTGTCTTTGACAAGATTTGGTATCCATGCTGTTCGTACTTCATAGAATAATTTAGAATCTCTCCTTCTCTGTGATTTGGTGTAGTTGGTGCAGTTTAAATAACATTGGCATTATCTGTGCCTTGGAGATTTGACAGAAACTAGAAGTAATCTGAACCTTAATTTTCTTGGAGGAGAATTTTATGAAAACTCAGTTTCTTCAGTGATTATTGGTCTGTTGGGATTTTCTACCTCTCCTGATGTCAAAATGATGATTTACATTTTCCCAGAAAATCATCAGTTTCAGCTGGTTTTCAAGTGGATTTACATATGGCCAAACACAGTACCAATAATGATAATAATAATAATAATAACAATAATTCTTTCTATTTTCTCTGTATCAGCAGCTATTTCCCCATTTTAATGTTCAATTTTGTATATTTGCCTCAATCCTCTCCTAACCCCCATTAGATTATCTCATCTCTAAAAAATCATAAAATGACACATGATTTTTCCCCCAGGACTCTATTTACTATGTACACAACTCAGAAATAGAACAGCTGAAATCAGAGAAGGGGATGAGAGGGCAGCCGAGGCACAGCTTGATACAAAGTCAGTCAACAAACATTTCAGATATGCAAAGAGCCGGCACAGGTATTCCCTGGCTTTAAGCCCCCACGCTGCTTTTCCCAACTCCCCCACCCCAGTGAAACCTGCCAGTTCCCCGAGTCCTTCACACCCAGCTATCACCTCCTCTTGGACCCTTTCCTGACTCCCCAGGGAGATGTCGGCACCTTTCCATAGACATCTTAGATTACTTTTCTTCAACTTCGAACAATTCATTTAAACCAATTGAATTAACAAATGTAAACATTCTGTCATTTTTGCTTTAGCTATTCTTTGTTAAATGAAGTGTTACTGACAGGTTAGAAGCCCTTCTTTTTCCTCTTTCAGTCTCAGCTCCTACTCTCTCCAAAGCACTACAAGCATCAGCTTGGTAGGCATTGCAAGAGAAATTAGTAAATCCCTAAATCATAGCTAGTACTGTTTTGTGATTTTTATGAAAATTAAATTTTCAGCCAGGCACAGTGGCTCACACCTGTAATCCCAGCATGTTTGGAGGCCCACGTGGGTGGATCACTTGAGCCCAGGAATTTGAGACCAGGCTGGGAAACGTAGCAAAAACCCATCTCTACAAAAATAC